TTTTATGTGTTTGTTCCACTATTCTGTTCTGTTGTGGAGTATGATGTACTGTTATCTCGTTTTGTTCCTTGTGAATCTAAATATTGTTGGAAATCTTCACTAAGGAATACAGTATTATTATCACTTTGTAAAAGTTTTATTTTAACTCTGTGCTGTGTAAATATTTTAGTTGTCCATTGTATGTATTGTATATATGCATTGGATTTTGTTTGTAATTTGAGCATTATGCACCAACAAGTAGAATCGTCTACAATCGTTAATAAGTAGTGTATGTTCTTATATGTGTGCAGTTCAATAGGACCAATGATATCAATATGAATAAGATCTCCAAATTGATTTGCAAGAGGAGATTGACATAGTTTTGGTATTGGTGTACGTTCAATATTTGCTTTTATACATTTAATACATTCTTTTTCTTTGTAGTTCATTATTTTAGTTGATAGTACACTTGGTTGTGTCTTTAATAATTGTTTAATATAATTGTAACTTATGTGTCTGAGGCATTTATGTATATCATAAATAGATAGTTCATTCATTGTTTTTAATAAATGATTATTGTACAAAATATACAAGTTATTTCTCAATCGTATATGTCTGATGTATTCATTACATGGTGATGTTATAGTACAATTATCATTTGTAAACATAAAAGAATAACCTTCCCTACATAGTAGTGCTTGACTTATGAGGGAAAAGGTCATTTGTAGATAGTAATAGACGTTTTATAATGTTATGACACTTTTTTCTTGTATATTCTTCAGGATTTCGATACACATAGATCCAGCTCGATTAAGAGTCATTGTTGACCTATTTGCAATAGTTACAATTGTAGGAGTTATGTTGTGTACATCTGTTAATCGAAATAGATAAGGAGTAGCATGTATTGATGCACCAGAATCGAGTAAATCCATCATTTGTGTATAGGATTTCTTGTTAGCTATGATTGTATTTGTAAATACATTGGTACATACCCAGGAAACGTATTGTTCGAATTGTTTGTCCTGGTTGCTTGGAATAAGAGTGTAGGCATTATTGTTCATTTCAACATTGCCTTCTTTTAATTCAACATTGTTTTCGTTTGGGTTTTCAATAATAAATGTGTTCATTGTGTTTTCTGCAGTTTGATTCGTTTTATGCACAATGTTAGCCTGATGTTTGGTGCATGCAAGCTTTGTAGCTTCAGTAGGAGGTTTGCAGCATTCCTTAGAGAAATGTCCTGTTTTTCCACAATTGAAACATTTCACTTTTGTCAGATTGAACGGATTTGGCAGATTGAATTTCCTCTGCTTATTGGCTTTATACATTGTATTAATGTGTGCATTATTCTTCATCCAATCATTGGAATCTTGTGCTCGTTTAGCACAGTAATTGTTGTAAGTGTTCTGTAATGTAAGGATTAGTTGCTTTGGTTCAACTTTCTTATGTTCATTGACTGGTTTGCCTTCGTTTTGGGCATCAGTAGATTGTATTATTGTATTTACTATGTGTGTATATTGCTCAGGGGTGGCAAGCAATATTGCTGCTTTGTATGTAGAGTTGCATGGTGGATCACTGTTAGCAGACAGAGTTGTGTATGCTTCCTCAAGTCTGTCTAATGTACGTCCGAAATGTTTTACATGGTCTCTACAAATAAACAGTGCCAATTTGTTGATGGCCTTTTTATATGCTGTCTGGGGGTTAAAGCATTCTTCAAGCACTTTCATTAACTGAGGGATAGATGTATCAAAGTGCATATAGTTTGCCAATATTGTATCAGCAATGTTATTGACTATGCATGCATGAATGGCCTTAGCCATCTCCCTCTCGGCTTCGTTCTGTGGTTCATCCTTTAGTAAGTGTTTGAAGCACATAGCTGTAACACTAGAAACGATGCAGTAGTGCCACATCTTGTAGTTCGCTTTGGTCTTAAGCATTGTGATGTTTTGACTGAAGTATTTGGGTACATTGGCTGGTTTACAGTGTGTATCTGTACGTGGGGGAACCATAATGCAAATGTGTGCGAATGTATGCGAGTAAAGAGTTTAGAGTGTACAGTGGATGCATGTATGCAGGGAGCTCAAGGCTCATAACCTGTTGAGAGGAAGAACTTAAGGGGGGCACGCATAGACAAGGGGTGAGGTGACGATTGACCGCTCAGTGTCTCTCGTCCTTATATTGTATGTATTCTAACTGAGACATTATGAAGTCATCGTCTCGTGGTTCGTCCGTTGATGAACTAATCATCTCATAATAAGTCTACATGTAAATATATTGCCTTGTCAGACTCTGCACATTTTGGTGATGTGCCCGTGGTATTAGATAATACGGTTACAAGGTAGACTCAGGAGTCAGGACATATCACCCGATAGGACAGTAAGATAGGCCCCACTCATAGAATCAATCCAAGCAAGACGCAACAGAAAGCAATAGTCTGAAAAGATGCCATGAATAGGATTGCATTCGAGCGACAGGGACTAATTCTTCAAGAGTGCTGAGAGGAAAAACACAAATCATATTACGTAACGGATAGTGAGACTCGCGCATGACGTCACGAGACTGCGCTTTGTACACACGCCAGTCGCTGAGACCTTCCTCTCTATTACTACTATCACTTCCTCTTCCTCTGAAATGGCGAAAACACCTTTTTCAGTCGTCAATATTGATCTCTGTCTCGCTTGCAGCGGGAGCCCCTTATCTGGTTCGCGACGACCCGGAGCGTCTTTGAATGTACATGAGAAAACTGAAGCAAATTCCGACTTGCCATCCAAATTATCGCCCGATTCAGGAGAGGATGAAGTATTCCGAACTTCATGTTGCGCACGTCCTATATGCGCCGCATGTCTGCGTGCGAATTCGCGTTTGGCAAGATACGTACCTTGTCTGGCATGTCTAGGCGGTGTAAAGGTAGTTGCGGGTCCATCCAATCTCGTTACAAGACAGAGCTATCAAGGACACGTGAATACTGGGGTGGGGGGTAACTTGCCAGGCAAGCACATGGACCTGGATGTAAACTTGAATGGCGCGCTGAGGGATGGAGACGTCTTTGTTGTTGGTGACGGAGATGATGAAGTCGGAGATGAGAGTGAACCGCATGACCAAGATCAAATAGATTCTCCACCCGCATATGGAGAAATTGCTTCCTGGGCCAGAGACGCAAGTCCTAAACTATCATCTTCTACACCTCCTTTCCCTCAGTCGCTATCCGAAGATGCAATGCGGATCCGGGGACAGGAACGAATAGATTTCGATCCTGAAATAATACGGCAGATACAGAAAGATCCCACTTCAACATCAGCGTCTGTACCACAGAAACACTATATTTGGGGGTCCGCTTTTCGGTTGTGAGACGCGGTCGAGCAGACTTTGAAAATTTGCCATTTTAAGCCGAAATGTGGTGATCAAAGTGTCCACCTTGCTTATACTTAACTTGAAAAATCAGTAGTCATAACAAAATCAATATTAAAAGAGTATATTGATACATGTTATACTTAATAATACAATTCATGTGTTATACTTGAGAGAAATGTTATACAGAAATTTATTTGGCTAAAGTAAAGTGTAAGCTACAAGTGAATCAGTAGTGATCAGCAGTCTATTGCAAAGGAACGACGCGAGTGTGACAAAATATTAGCCAAATTCTCTGTGACAATGTGTGACTACAGCCATTCTGGCCTCATTCTTTATTTCATTCCTCATGCAGAGGTCAGTTAATTCACACAAAAACATTACTATAAATCAAAATAAATCATTATTAAAAGATTTACAGAAGGATTTTGTCAGAAGAAAATTATTGCTCAAGATATAGTTGATTTGGAGTGTAAAACAGTTATATTTTAAGCTGGTTTCTAATAAAATCAAA